ATATATATATATATATATATATATATATATAGTTTTTTAATTATTGTCAACAACAACAAAACATGTGCAGCGGTGTATGCTAAAACGTTTTTTTTTTTTTCCTAGAAATAAAATAAATGAATAAAAACTAAAGCATGATCAAATGTATTAAGTTATCCTATATACTGCTATGAAGTAGTCTTATTTTATTTTTCATCTACTTGAAGCAAGGAACTCTCAGAAAAGGATTATTAAAGTGTAAAAAAATGACTAATATGCTGAAGCTAAGGCTGAGCAATTACCCAAGATGCATAGTGGGAGCAGCAGCCGAGGCAAAAAGCCACAGGCTGAGTAGGAACCCTGCAGCTTGAGACTAGATCTCTGTAACATCAAATGTCTGATCGCATGCACTCATGGTAAGAAATAAATACAACACTGAGTACTAATCACTCGTATGTGCCAGTTCTGGCTGGTTACCCAATTCCCTGTAGAAAAAACAGAGCAAGGATACTGCTGTAAGAAAACAATCCTCTTATCAAGGCAGCCAAATCTGACCAGATTTTCTTCATTCATTCAGACATTTATTTATTTATCTATTTATTAAAGGCCAGCACAGCCTCATCTAATTAATTCAGATCTCAGGATCTAGATTTATGTTTGCAATGATAGTCAAGCAGAGAATCACTCTGTTCGAACTGAATGGCTGTCTTGCATATAGCCTAGACTTGACCCGTCAGTCAGTTCTATCCCTGAGGCGTGCCGTGATGACCCGAGCACAGCAGCAGATGTTGTGGCTGTGAGGGCCCGGATGCCAAACAACAGTTCTGCAGATTTGCAGCTGTTCTAATCCCTGTTGATTCAGAAAAAAAAGGCAAAATAAAGAATAAAAACAAATCATGCATGCACTAAAATGCACTTAACAAGGCTATAATGCACTACCTATTACTTTAGAGAATAAATAAAAAAATACCACAGCTAAACCAGTTTATTTATTCATTTATTTTTTGTTCTTTTCTTCTTTTGACTACTCCCTTCGTCAAGGGTCACCACAGCAAACTGAGTTGTATGAAGACTTGTCAATTTTTATTATTTATTTATTTTTTTTACACCTGATGACCTTCCTGACACAATCACAGGCCACCAAGCTACGACAGCCCTCTGTGTGGAGCAGGGAGCTGCCAAGGTGCCCGTGGGAGCAGATGGGAGGGTTAAGGGCCTTGCTCAAGGGCCCATAGTGGGGCAAATGAGGGTGGAGACACTCTGGGTGCCTCATCAATCACCCACAATTTAATGTTATCGGTAACGGGAGTTGCACTAGTGACCTTCAGATCACAGGCCCACCTTCTCTCTGTGCCACCTCTACCCAGCTAAACCAGTCTAGTGTTATGTGAATATTACTGCAATTGTGTT